TTGGCTCGGCTCTTCACACGTTACCTGCCTGAATGCAAGTTCCCTACTCAGTGGAAGACCAGCAAGACCTGTTCAAGAAGGGTGACTTATACGACATAGGCAACTATCGCCCAATCTGTTTGCTATTTGTCGTCTACAAACTCTTCACTTGAGTAATCCTAAACAGAACACTGAGCGAAGGACAACCATGTGAGCAGGCAAGGTTTCGAAAAGGATTTAGTACAATGGACCACATCCACACGATAACAAGGCTCATTGAAGTATCGCGAGAGTACAAAAGACCGCTTTGTCTCACTTTCATCGATTTGGAGAAGGCGTTTGAGTCAATTGAGATAGAAGTAGTCATGGAGGCCCTTGATAGTCAAGGGGTTCCTACTTAGTACAGAAAGATTCTTCGGGAGCTGTTCAAAAATTTCACAACCAAGATATCACCATTCAACAATGATGTTAGCGTTGACGTCAAAAGAGGAGTTAGGCAAGGCGATACCACCTCGCCAAAATTAATTACCGCCACCATTCAGAACATCATGCGAACATTGGAATGAGATAGTGTGGGAGTGAAAATCGACGGTCGGCAGTTATACCATCTTCGCTTTGTTGATGACATTGTCCTTATAAGACCAAACATTAGCCAAGCGGAACGTATGCTTGATGACTTTGATGGAGCCTGTGGAAAGATTGGTCTTCGACTAAATCTCACAAAAAGGATGTTCATGAGGAACGGATTGGTTTCGTATGCCCTATTTACGCTTAGCGGAACGAATATCACCAAATGCTCCAGTTATATCTATCTAGGTCGGGAAAATAATATAATGAACGAACTAGCTCCAGAGCTGAGCAGAAGGAAACGCGTGGCATGGAGAGCTTTCAAGTGCATTGAGGATTTAGTGAAGAGAACAAAGAATACCCGACTCCGTACCCACCTTTTCGACTCAGCGGTACTTACTGCCCTAACGCATGTGTCAGAAACCTGGTCGCTGCGTAAGCAGGATGAAAGATCACTGAGCGTTATCGAACGCGCAGTCGAAAGGACAATGCTAGGAGTATCCCGTTCCACACAAGTAAGGAATGGGATCCGAGGTTCCGATCTGCGTCAACGATCAAGAATCAAAGATGCCGTGTCGAAGATAAGGTAGGCCGAACACGTAATGTGTATGAATGACAACCGATGGACATGAGCCGTTACTGACTGGATTCCACGGGATGTCAAACGTACTGCAGGAAGAGCACCAACCCGATGGTCAGAGTTCTTCACAAGGAGCCTTGAAGAAAGATATGATGATCGACGAGTTCCTAGAGCGAGCAGTACCCACTTGGCTACTCTTGCACGCAACAGGGAAAAATAGAAGCTTTCCTGGCGCCTGGTCGGATCACTCGACGATCAACGGGACTACAGGTGATACAGGTGATCCCTCATTCAGTGAATCTCGGCGGGCTCTCGCGACTACACTATCCATCCCAGGTGGCGGATAGATGGTTTAATACTGACCAAAGGCTATTTGTGCTTCTGTGAGATACCTGCGGATCCAGGAGATAGGCTCCGTGTTTCTGTTGCGTTGAATTAACGAGCCACTTCTATATTTAGAGACGTCCATGCTTGCGTGCGTTTGACGTGTTCTTATTTATGCACATAGGCACTGTCGAGAACGTCATGCGAGAAGTGGAATGGATGAGCCTTCGGAATGAGTAATTACTGTTACGAAGCGCACCTGAGCTTCCGAGTTTTGCTCATATCTCATCATCATTGTGAAAAAGTAGACGGTCGAGGGCCACACCATCTATGCTTTGCTGATGGCATCATTCTTGTAATATCGAACCATAGTCAAGCAGAACGAATGCTATCAAACTTCGGCAACGCTTGTGAAAAAATTGCTCTTCGCCTAAATCTCACAGAAGCGATGTTCATAAGGAGTGGACAGTTTTCATGTGCCCAACTCCTATTCAACGGGAACGCCTTCGAATGCTCCAAACCGATTTCGCTGAACTGGGCCTTTTAAAGCAATGTTTTATAGCCGAACTTGCTTCGTTGGAGATAAAGGGAAGGTTAATGGGAACCTTGTTTTTGTTGAACTTCTCGTTTGGGGGATTTGTTTTTCCTCCAAACCTATTCCTACTTTTTGTGTCAACTCCAGGGGTTTCTCCTTCTGTTCCTTTCATTTGTGCATCCACTGGTGTCAAGTAACAACCGCTTTTCGGCGGCTTCTCCTTCTTCACGGTATAGCTGATTTTCGGCGGTTTAGCCTTCTTCAGAGCTTGGAATAGTTAAATTGACCAGCAATCTATGTGGTCATAAATCATAAACACTTTCATAACTTCAATAAATAATAGTTAACAAATAAACTATATCTATACCATGTATTTACATTGTCGAGCTTACACGAGGTTTATATGAAATGTTTATTCGACTAACGTTTCGACGTTTTCGTCTATATCGGAGCCAACGATCCTTGTCGATGCTCCACAGTTGTTCCTCTTCCCGATGCGGCGTCTTCGTCTCGCATCGAGCCGGATCCTCCTCAGTTGAGCATCTCGAATGAGCTGAACACATCCGGCGACGCTCTTTTATACAGGGCGGTTGTTGTGGTTATGATTATCCTTTGATAATGATTTTTTTTATACCTATATCCTCTCAGGTTCTAAAGAAGGCAAACCGTCGAAACGTCAGCTAATACGAAAGCACAACCTCGTACTTGTTCATCAAGAAAACAGTGAGTTATTGATCATTGCCGAGGCTAAAAAAAGTCGGCCGTGGAATTTGCAACAGAACAGGCATGGATACACCCAGAGTAGATTAGTGGCTGCAGACCGAGTATGAATGAGAACTCAACGTTACACATAAACCTAATGGCAACGCTTGATGCCAGTTGCGGTGCCATTGCCAACCCTTCCACTTGTGCAAAATATATCCCGGACCATTTAAAGAATGAGCGGTTTAGGCACTCCTTTAAGTGGGCCACGAGATGATGAATCCAGAAACCATAACTATTTATTCCTCATTCATGCTCCATAAGGAATTCGAGGATAGCTTGTACAGCTGTGTTATTCTATAAGTTGGTATGAAGGGCTGGACCTCGACGGTGCAAAATGACGAACGCGCTGTTAGGACACGGGTTACACAAACGATCCAGGAATGTTTGGGTATTGGTGAGATACGTTACGATGTATTTCAGCTACTGTATGGGCATAGGTTTATAAACTAAGCTATTCTACCCATCGGCCCATCTACACAGTTGATGATAGCCCTAACCGTAAAGGCTGAGGCTGTTGATATCGTCATAAAATGGTGATATTTTGGTTATGAAATTTCTATACACCTCACAAAGAATCATCATATACTGAGTAGGGACACCTGCCTTGCCTAGACCTTCCATAACTGCTTCTATCTAAACTGAGTCAAAAGCTTGTACCGATGAAAGTAAGACAGAGCGTACCCTTGTGCTCTCGCGATATTTCAGTGTCTTGCTATCGCGTGGTTATTATCCACTTAATGGATTCTTTTTGAAACCCTGCCTGCTCACATGGCTGTCTTTCGTCCAGTGTTCTTTCAGTCCTATTTAGAACGACTCAAGTGAGGAGTTTAGATGACAGACAGGGTCTGCTGTGATAGACCGCATAATTTGTGTAGCCCTCCTCGTTTTATGAAACCCCAGACAACATACCTCAGGCTGATTTTTTGACCTGAGCCCGCCACATTCCTCACCTATGTTAGACTGCGCTGACGATTTTCATCAGATAATTGGAAGAGTTATAAAAAACAAAATGGTGAGTTAACACGTTCACCACCACGGCATGCGGATCCTGCCGAATGGTGTGGTGGTGAACGTGTTACTCCCCGGAAAAGACAATAACGAGTCCGTTCCCCACCGCATACACCTGCGTTCCGGAGTTTTGCAAATATCTCAGCACCATTGTGGTTGTGTCACACAAAACACCTTGCCGTGAAAAATTGTAGTAGGCAGTAAATAAAAAATTAACATTCGAAATGGACCATCGACTCGGATCATCTGCTCTGAGGAAGACGAAGACGTCGAAACGTTAGCCGAAAATAAATATAATTATAACCTCGTGTAAGCTCATCAGTGAAAGAATACATATTGATTAGTCACACCGAGGTTCAAGGAAAGTCTGTTTCGAAATATTCAAAATGATGTTTAAAAAAGGCCGCTCACCATTTGATCGATAATTCATGCATCCTTCCATCTGGTTCGGTCATGAAAGTGTTTGACTAAGCGGATTACATGTCAGCTTGACCCTTCCAAGCCGTGAACAGGGCGAAACCTTTGAAACGTTAGCTATTGTGACATAATGTAGTAAAAAGGTTATGGAACCCACTAAACTCCACTATGGTGTCTATCTCATCCGCTACGTCATAAAGAAAAAAGTTCCGTTCTTCAAAAACCCTTCAGCCATATTAAAAAGACAAGCAGCATCTGATACTGACGGAGCTGAATTGGTGAACATAATACCAAAAGATTTAATCACTAGGTTACTCACAAGGTACACAAATGGAATCTGAAATTGCTGCCTTGTAAGAATATCGGAACCTATAGATGCTTTTATAGTTGAAAAACGATCGTCTAAAATTCATATAGCATCTTTTAGTTTTCAACTGGAATATGTGCACCCAGTTATGTCCAAAAAGTCTAGTCGATTGTCCTCACCAGAAGCACCAAAGGATTTTCATAACTGTTTAGTCGTTTTGCTTTAAGAATAAAACAAATTTATTTAAATCTGAGAACTTAAGGAACACAGCGGGCGAAATCTACACAATGATCGAGCATCAAACAGGCAGCAACCATCATGAATGGATCGACTTCATCAAGAAGAAAAATAGATAGACGACATACTTACATACCTGGGATAATGACATTTAACGAACAAACAAAGTCTAAAAAAATAGACACTTCACAAATTAGGAAAAAAAATAATATTACACATTACAACACCGTCTTCTGAACGCCAGTTATATCGCTATAGCATTAAAACACGTCTGCAGATGTTTATAGGATGTAACTCCTATCTACGCCGCCTTTCTCTACTAGTGCTACGATCTCGTCTACCTTCTGCGCTGCGCTCCCTACAATAACGCTTGCGATCGCCCGAGCGACTGCGTTTACGTTCCCGGTCGGTCGAGCGACTGCGTTTACGTTCGCGGTCGGTCGAGCGACTGCGTTTACGTTCGCGGTCGGTCGAGCGACTGCGTTTACGCTCACGAGAGCGCTTTCGGTCGCGCGACGAACTACGTCGCCGTGACCGACTGCGCCTCCGATCGCTACGAGGCGGCGACCGGCTGCGTCTGCGCTCGCGACTTCTACTACGCCTGTTGCGATTCCTTGACGAACTTCGCCGACGTTCACGGGATCTACGTCTACGATCTCCAGAACGACTTCGACTTCGCTTTCGCTCCCTAAAAATGAGACTGAAAGAGTTAGCCAGAAGAAACCTTTCTGGATTTTAGAACTGAACCATTGTTAGTTTCAATGTGGGAAACCCAGGCTTTAAAGAGAACCATATGAGAAACCGAGGCTTAAAAAAACTCACCTAGACCTACTTCTCCGTCGTCGTTTAGAATCCATGTCATTAGAACTGTTCGCATTATTACCATCTTTATTGGACTCATTTTTACCTAAAATAGCATAATTTGGAATGGTAAGCAAAACCATGGAATCTTTCATATTTTATGAAATTTTTAACCAACCAGATCGCCGTAAATTCGCTTTAACTGATTCCACACCATCTCCGGTAGTAACAGCTTCTGTTGAAGGGTCTTCTAAAGCATAACAGGATCGTTGATTCGACCCCGACACTTATAGGTACATGATGGTACTATGAGGAATGAACCATAAGCGATGGCTTCTTGAGCTATCCACAAAACATCGGGATGAATTGGCCCTGCTGGAATGATAGCAGGAGCAAAACAACGGATTACATACCTGCTGAGGTGGTCGTTTGCTTACTAGTCTTTCGTGGAACCCCCATTGGGGTTTTGAACACGGTGTTATCGTCTTCGGACTCACTCGATGGTGATGCTCCACCATTTCGTGACTTGTCCGCACTTTCGCTCTTCTCACCGACATCACTCTCGTCGTCGCTTTCATCGCCTCCTCCTATTATTTATTAGTTAGTTCGATCTAGGAGATGCTATTAAGCTTAACATCATAGTCATTCCATGAAAACTTTATAAACCACTGTAATGTCCACCACGACCTTCTTCGGAGTTTTATCTACAAAAACAACAACAACGCAACAAACGAAAAGCAGCTAACAAACAAAACGCGAATTTTCCACTAGCATTCTGCTTAAGATGTGGTGGTAATCGGGTTTCAGAACTAAAAACAAAATAACAAATAAAAGTGAACCAACAGCGAACGAGCAAAGTGCAAGCGCAAAATTCGCGCATTACAATGCACATTGTCTCGTAAAAAAGATCTAGGAATTCCATGTAATTAGTGAAGAAAGTCAAATCATAATTAGAGGACACTATATAGAATGAAAATTGTCTATAGTAAAATCCGAAATGAAGAAAAGCATAAATAGAAAGCTTACCGAGAGTTGACAAAGCCGCCAATGCGGAACTCTTCGCAAGGAGCTTTGGTTCAGCTAAACGGATGATTTAGAAACGAGTTTACATTAATACTATAACCTGTACGACGTAATGTAGAAGTGACCCATTCTATTATCACCCAACTGAGAACTGTTACCTGTGTTAGGAAGATGGAAACAATCTATCTACAATCTACCCATCAATAATAACAATTTCAAAAAATGAATACATTCTGAAACCATGTAAGGGTACGATGGCCCAAATACACTGTCCAATTGTCATATAGCTCAAAATTGCAGACTAAGTGGCTCATCAGCAGACCTTCGTGCTTCATCTCTCGTATACTTTCCGTAATACAATTGCGGAGAACTTCGTCTGTGGCTTCCATAAGTAGAGACATCATGATGAATTTCACACTCGCCATCTTAAAACATATTAGATGGTTTTTGCTCATCATACCTCGAAGCCCAACACACTTTTATAAGCAACAGAGCTGGCACTTTCTATAGCAAACATCAAATCCTTACTCTTGGAAAGTTATAAAATGAACAGAATAAAGAACAGTAGTAAGTATATCACAGTGACGTCAGGTATTCTTCTTTGATTTTAGGTATTTTTCCTTCTTTAAAATAATTAAGTACTAAGAATGGATACTACCATGTGGAAGAAATCAACGGGAAATTTCTATGTACCTCGCACAATCTGATTACTAGCAAACTGCATCCCTTTATCAGAACAATAACGAAAGTTTAAGACATAAAAGCAACGAACTGCATCATCTCTCTTCTCTTCATCCGTTCGAAGATCTTCTACAGGAGGATTTGCACGTCGTGCCAAGAAAACCGGTTCACCATCGTCATCATCCGCACCGCATGATTGCCTGGACTTGGTACGCGATCGTTCGTCATCAGCCTGTCCATCATCCTCATCTTCACTACTACTGTCCTAAAGAAAATTAAGCTGTCATCATAAATAATTTGAAGAATTTCTATGCATAGAATTTGCAAGCAGTCTAGGATAATACTTTCTATTCTGCACGAAAGAAAGGACGGCTTACGAATCTTCCCTTTCCTGCGAGAATCCGACGTTTTGCTCTCTCTTCTTCAGCTCTTTTCATACGTTCTTCTTTCTCGAGTTGCTTCATCTTCTCGCGCTCTGCTTTTTCAAGACCTTCTAAAATCCAGGCAGGCAGTTTCTTTCTAGTTGACGCATCTGCAAACTACGGGTTTATTTTGCAAGTTGAGGTGACAGAAGGAAAGGAATTAAGTGCATACAGTAAGTAAAACATACCCATTGTGAAAAACGGTGGTGCTGACGACTGACTAGATCCCGATTGATGTTGCGAAGAAATGTTATTAGAAACTCCAGATGTAAACGGAGGTGGATAGAAAGGAGTCGGATACCAAACACCGGGTGCATTTCCTCCAGGCGGTGGAGGTCCTCCCGAAGGAGAAGAACCTCTGAGCGGAGGGGGTGCAGCGGGAGGTAGTCCGTGAAGTTGTGGCCCATTTGCTAGCGGTGGAGCTCCGACTGGAGGTCCTCCACGAATTGGTGGTCCAGTAGGATGCGGAGAACTCCAATTTCTACTTGATGGAGATGGGCCATGAGGAAAATCATGTTGAAGATACTGATTTGAGGGTGGACCTGGCTGTAAGCAGATGTTTAACATTTACTAGTTACAAATGTGAATGTGCACAAATGTTAAACCTACCGAACGGTAAAACTCAGGTGGGTCATGTGAACACGGCGGTGGAGGTGGAGCACCTCCCCAATCACCATGGTAGCTGTCTTGAAAATCCTTAAAACACAGCTATTTGCAGATGATATTACTAGATTTAAACGTAAGACCTTGCAAAACCAACTGAATGGCAGCAAAAGTTAATGTTTGTTTTATGGGGTCAGAGAATAAACTGTACATGGAGTTACAAAACAGAGTTAGCAATTCTATGAAAAAAAGGCAATTTACATTTCGAATATCACTTTTAGTCTGAGCAGCAGATGGAAAAATTGGACGGTTCGGACCTGACGTCGTTGATGACCAGTCATCTAAACACTATGAAGAATGGAAAAATCACAACAACTCAACGGAACACCGACGAAGAATCTTAGCCCGTTGTCATGAGATTTCATGCAACATAAAGGCGCGAAAATTTAACAGTTTTAAGATTATCAGGAAGTCACCTTTAAACAAATCCTCACTCTGACGGAAGGTATCATGCAATCCGTAGTCGCGATGATTTCGCTCTGGTCCTCTAGGATAGGTTTGGTCATGCCCGTGGTGATAGTGTCCACTGGGACCACTTCGTCCATATTCGTAGCTACTGCCACGGCCATAGTGACTAGGTGGACCAAGATCACCGATGAAATGTCCACCGTAACCGTTCAGTTCACTATCAGGCCTGTGTTCATCTTGGGCAGATCGCATCGCCATCCATCGTTGAGCCAAATCAGCCCAGTTGACTGGAAAGACATTAAGTAAGATTAAAAAAACCCCCAAGTTTCCTCGTCTTCTTACTAAAAAGTCACCACCTCTGTGAAATACAGAAGAGAATAAGGATGAAATGTAAATTGTTTAGGACCATTTTTTGCAACTGCAATAAACAGCTATTCAGTGGCAGCAAATCTTAGCACTTCTCAAAGTAGTTAAGGGAATAATGCGTTCCCTAAAAATGTTAATGCTTGGGAAAACACGGACACTATGTCTAAAATTTACATGAGCATTTACTATGTAATATATTTAAACTCATAGCAAAAAAAACTTGTAATCCCTTTGCTAATTATCCTCTAACAAGTCAAGCCCTGATGATTTTAGGTACCACTAAAACAACTGGATTATTCCCTCTCGTACATGAGTCTTCACATTAAATTTCACTCGTACCGGCAACAAGAGGTGCATGTAACGAGCGCAGTGATCGGGGGCGCTCTGCAGTACACACGGGATTGATCTCTGCTCCCCAAACTCATCAAGCCCTCCATCGCTCCAGGGTCGGCAAATTGGTACGACTTGTCTAGGAGGATAGTAGCACTGACTGGATACATTAGTAGGCCACTGCAGGTCATTGTAAAGACCAGATATGCATTGATCACATCTAGAGATATTAAATGAAGTCGAATACACGGCACATCACTCAGGGAGTTACCAACGCCGAGAGCTTTATCCTTTATCGTCTTACCGGTGGCAAATACAGCATGCTAATAATGGATATTTGAATACTTAAACGGCCAGTCTTCCTGAAAAACTAAAGAAGATTTTCTCTTTAGAGTTCCGAGAGCCATGGACCAAGGCGCAGACCAGGTCGTCATCACATAGTACTCCTTTGTGAAAAGGCTTTCCCTTTTTTGCTAGAAGAAACTGCGATTCAAAAAAGTAGTTCGGTCAGGCGTGAAACCGAATGGAAATACTTGAAAAATCGCAGCCTGAACAGCTTAGCTGCGTAGATGAAGCTTTGTTGTATTTGCAACTTGACAGCTAAAACAACTTCAAGTCATGATGAGGAAGTAACTCATCTAAATTTCTTAATGCATGCACCAATTCAAAAAAAGAGATATTCAGCCGTACTTTTCATAAACAGGGCTGGTAAGCCACCTTGGTAGAACTGAAAAAAAGAAAATCAACAAAGAAACTCATTTAACCTTGTAATGAAGCTCCAATTATTGTGGTAAGAAAAAATTGATAACTAAAGGAGAAAATATCGCCGTATTGATTTCACCACAACCAAATACAAAAACCACGCGAGAGTAAACCTCGGGTGAATGGCCATCGTACTGTCACTCTTCGACTTCCCAAAGAGAACGCATTCAACAGAACACAACAGCTAGTTTGCTTACACTCAAAGCATTCAGGACAGCGAGCGATAGCTGCTTGAGTGCTAAAGTAAATGTAAGGTGAAAATGCATTACTATACACTACCACGCCTTTCATTATGCCGTGCCCAATAGTTTCCTTTTTAGATAAGACAACTACTTTTAATTTGGCCTAATATTGTTGTTCACCTTAGGTTTGGTATTAAATGAAGATGGATAAAGCTCTCGGAGTTGTTCAATCCACGAGTGTGCCATGTATTCGACTTCATTAAGCATCGTTGGAGGTGACTGACATACCGATGAATGGAGTCAGTGCTATCCTCCCAGACATGTCTGGTACCAATCTGCCGACTCCGGAGGTATGGAGTGACTGGTGGGCGTAGGGCGCGTGGATCGATCCCGAGTGTATTGCAAGGCGCTTCCGACCACTGCGCTACACGCGCCTTCAGTTTGGTATTAGAAACGAATAATCAGTAATGTCGTTTTTTGTTCCATCATCTTATTCAATGACATAATCTCAGAGAACTCTGAAAAGATCTAAACTCTAAGTACCAAATCGTCAACCTACCTTGATCTGGCGGCATATTCTGATAAGTGCTCCAGGAGTCCATGTCCTCAAGTTTTCTTTGAACAAGCCCCCTTGAGTTCGTGTTATCAATAGGTGTTCAGCTTAGGTGGTCACCAATAAATGCTGTAAGAAACTAGTAAAATGCATCCAGCATCTTCAATAATTTCGCATATAACGTCAATTACATAGAAAAATACAGAAAGACGAGTTGAGGACAACTAAAAAACGAACAATCCAGCTTTCACAGGATACCAAGTGCTTCAGAACAATCAATAAAAGGGATTAACGGGAAACAACGATCATCCGGTACGAAGAAAACTACGAGTCTCATTGCAGTTTGCATAGTTGGGGATCGAATCCGATCAATAACCTAGTGACCACATGTAATCGTTTCAAATCGATGGGTTCTCCTTAACTTTTAAGTTCTAAACTAACAACGACATCGTCTGTACAAATCCAGTTGGTGAGAAATTAGTTGACACTACGGCTGTGGAGATGGTAAACATCGCTACCACCCTAATCCAATGTCGAGCACCGTCAAACGGTCTCCCCTGATTACACACACACACATACAATCGCTTCTCAACCAGTTCTCAAACCATGTTTCCTTACTTTTCTCTTAATTCTTACAGTGTAAGACTTCCAGTAGTCAGATAGAGAGTAGTATGCAGCTAGTACTTACTGTTGTAAGCTACTTGCGGCTATCACAGCTATAATCGTAGTAACGAATTCAGACGTGGCTCAATCGATAAATCGAAGTTACCTGATCAGCGAAGTAGGACTAAAATCAGAGTTCACAAGCTCATAACTCAAATCTGTAATGCATAGCCGCTCATATCTTAAACAAACCTCTAATGCTTACGTTTTTACCTTAACTGCTTAGATACTTTCTTAACATAAGAGGAAACGAACTTTAACACCCCATCGTACTTGCAACAGCTTCCAACCAGTCCTTATCCAGTTACAATTGAATTTTCTTCCTAATCATTGATCCCCAACTGATCTATGGTCATTGGATTTTGACGTAGGAGTTAGACAACGAACGATTACAAAGATTTGCTTACAGATATGTGTATATATATGTATGTATATATGTATATATATATAAGCACTATCGATCGGCAATACGAAAAACACAACATACTCGACTTCTTCGTGGAGTTATGGCACTTTTCTTCCTAATCGATAACTAGTTAAGATATGAATGCAGTTCCCGATGATAAGAGGGAAGCCCGATGGGAAAACCCCAGACATCGGGACTCTATGGAAAGGCATCGGGCAAGTGCAAGTGAAAACACTTGTTCTGGTTCACATAACCTAGAAAAAACTACTAAGGATTAGTGAAAAACCTGGAACAATAGAAGAGCGTTACAAGGTGTGGACCTCTTGTCCCCGCAGAACTCAGTATCGACCTTTGTGATTTACCTACGCTAATGCTCAGTCGATTGTTGATTGGAGCGCGAAATGTTCCTGAAGGATTCAGGAAATTTTCGGAGTCCTCTAAGAGAAGAGAAAGTATTTTCTGGAAAGGAATTCTGACACGTTCATTCTTGACAGAAACATTTCGAGTCTAATGAGTAATCTAGCTCACTCTTTAATTTCCAGAAAATCGATTTGTGCGCGAAGAATTCAGGAATGAAAGATGGTAACATGTTCCTAACGCGTTCCGATTCATAGTTAGTAGTTTTGTAAAGACTCTTTAATCAAGATAAGCAGCCAAAATCGGCATTGAATAATTTAAAATGCAGTTCTGAGTTGTTGATTCTTTTCATGGATTTTTTCTGAACATAAATCATTGATCCAACGTTTTACCCCCTCATCATGGCAGGATGGTGTTCTTGGGTGTCGGGTAGCGATGTACAGGGGGCATTCACCCCCTTGGAGGGGTCTCCCAATCTGATAAGGAGTACGGCGTGTTTCCATCAAGAAGCCCAGCTAAGAGTAAACCAGTACCATGATCCACCACCGCCCTGGTATCAAAGTCGCATGGTGGAAAATTCCCCTTGATCCACAAGGACGGCGACCGCCTGTGGTGGAGACGAGCTGTGGTAGACTTTGGCCAGGCTTTGGGAGTCCAAGAAACCACAGTGGCTGAACTAGCAAAACTGCAAAAAAATGAAGATTATGCTGGGGTCCGCACAATCAGTGAGGACGGGCCATCCAAATATCCAAGTAAGTATACACCGCTGACAAGGATGTAGGTTCGTATATTGCGATTTACACAGAAATAACATCACGTTTGTCTCTTAAAACTTCGACGTTTATTTTCTGCATGAACTTCTATGTTCTTTAAGTTTGCACCATATGCCATATATCATCTTAAAGCCCAGATTTCGACGTACAGTACTTCCTTCGATTTTCGTATGAATATTTTTGTTTATATGTTAATTTGTGTCGATCACAGGCACACAGAATAAAAATGGCAGACGAAATAGATATTATTTCGAACAATTTTTATTTAACATACCAAGTTAACACGTAAAGAACGACACGAGTGGATATGCACTCATGCACGCGTAAGCACAACGACCGGTGTGAGTGGGTATTCACTCACAGCGAGGGGCGTGGAAATCACGCGTCAAATAGATGCATCAGACACACCGATTTAGGTTTCGGTTTTTATCTGCTTAAGAAACTTGATCGTAAAGCCTCGAAAATCCGCCCACACCACCAACTTTGGATCTGGACAGTAGAGTGTTGAGAAGTAAACCGTACAATGTTGATTTCTGATGTTTCGTAACAGGAATGAGATCACCTGTCCTACAGAAGACGAAGACGTTGCAACGTTAGGCGAATAAAACATACAAAAACCCTGTGTATGATCGACAAATCAAAGGGCGCATGTAGTGTAGTGGTCGGAGGCGCCCTGCAATACAAATGAAATCGATCTCTGCGCTCCAGGCCCACCAAGTCTTCCATCCCTTCAGTGTAGGCAAATTGGTACCGGACTTGTCTGGGAAGGTAGCAGTATTGGCTCGACACATCGGTGAGCCAACACGAGTCATTTTAAAAGCCAGATATGCATTCAATCACCTCCAACGATGCTTAATGAAATCGAATTTTGCGCTAATCCATTAGAGATCAATCAACGTCGAGAGCTTTATCGTTTTTTTTTTATAATGGACAATTCAAAAAATCTATTGGTTATTCACTCCAAGGTTAAGCGAAGGTCGATTTAGTAACACGAAATGGGAGTCTTGCTTATGAGCTTCTGATGCAAGACAGCAAGATTTCCACTTCCCAGAATCGAATCTTCGTCTAATGAAGGTTGTTACGAGATGGGATTTCAAGTCGTCGATTCGAACTTCTTCTCCGGTCTTCTGACGAAACTATTGCACGGGAGCAATGATGTTGGACAACATTCGTCAAGAAGTTCGGCGCCTTCGACCATTATTAACCAATCAAAAGCCACCAACTCTATGGCACGAAAGCGCTCTTCGCCCAACAAAGGTTTTAAAGGTTGCACCAAAGCACTGGCTCAACATCCTCCTATTTGGATTCAAGAGTTTCAGGCAATGAAAAATCAGTAGGATGGTGTTTTTGTACATGAATTTTTACCAACAGATGATCGACAACTATTGCCAATCGCTAAGTGCCTGTCGTCTACAAATTCTTCACTCGAGTCATCATCACTAAAATTGGAAGAAAATGGATAGAGAGAAAGCCATGGAAACAGTCAAGTCTTTGAACTTCAGCAGAATAGACTACGTGCACACCTTAACCGAGTTTACTGAAGTACTTATCGCAAGAGTAGAATAGAGTGCTTTGTCACACTTTCACCGATTTGAACTTAGACCTCGACACAATTGATACAGGAACGGCGATGGAAGCTTTGTATATCCACGGCATTCTTGCTCAGTACACAAAAGCTCCTCATGGGCTGTACGACAGGTTTTCCACAAAGGTTTCAGCTTTCAGCAATGTTCACATGAAGGTATCATCTCGGCAAAATTTTCTACATCCGCTCTCGAGAATGTCAGGAGGAAATTGGAATGAAATTAAACGCGGCTGAGAGTCGATAACCAGCAGCTACACCTTATCATTACATCGGTGTTATAACATTTAGTCTTCTGTGGGTAGCAAGGGAATTTATCGTGGACTTCCGGCTACCAATGATTGATCCTTAAGGAAATCTATGGAAAACGGCGTTCATAAGAGAAGGAAAACTATTGCTTGGTTATGCTTATGCGGGTAAGGAACTTAATGCAATGAACGATTTGATTTCCTAGCCTAACAGAAGCCAACGACTTGAAAAGCTTACATAGTAAATAAAGTGAAGAGAGGAATACTTGCCACGCATCTACTTCTTCGACTTCAGGGTTCTTGTTTTTTGTATGCTTTGGAACTGTGGGTAGCACCATAAGAAGGACAGAAATGGGGACATTGTTTCCAAGCAAGCCATCAAGAGGGTTATGGAGATAGCGTATGAGATATAGGGAATCAAGAGCTCTTCCACACTACAGAAGATCAGTAACTCACGCCCTTATGTTCCGCAGACTTCTAAGCCAAGATGTCCAAAGTCGAGGACTAGTGAACACTATGGAGACTATACTAGCGCCTACTTGAATCACTCGAGGGCTATGAAGAGGACTGGTGATTCAGGTGAGTAACGTGATAAAGGTAATAAAGGTGTTCTCTTCACAAAACGTTAAAGCACTTCATGGTAAAATACAAAGTTTTTCAAAACGTTTGTTAACCTTCTATACAATATATTACGTTCCAACTGAGTCAAGCAAACTATCGTAATTGGCTCTGTGCGCCCTGGTGGCGATGTCGATCGTCACTCTTTGCACCTTTGGTTGTGTCGCGTTCTAAACATTGTTCACAAAAATGTTATCACAGCATCATTTTGATTGATATTCATCGTTTAGTGACGACGACCCGTTCAGAACGTCGAAATCCTGTGCGACACCAGAATTCACAAGTGATGCAGAACCAGGTCGCCGTGAAACTTCTGTGTGAACACAAAACTGGTGAAACGAATGCAGGTGCCGGTAGGTTACGATGTTTGACGTTTTTTTTTGACGAAATGAAAATGCTATA